TTTCAAGGGGATTTCCCTGCTCTGGTCCTGAATTTCTGTGCAAGTACATATTTTTCTTTTTATATAGTACAACGTTCTCAGTCTTTTTGTTGGTGTAATGGTTTGTGGGAATGACCTTGGGGGACAGGAAGAAGTAAAAGTAAAGGAGGGGAAAAATGCTTTCAACTTGCAAGATTCTCTTACTATAACCTTACAATAAAACTAGTGTTAGTACTCATGGTTTCTGCTTCTTGTCTGGACTACCTCAAAGGGCCAACATCAATCTTGCAAGTCTGAAAATACCTCTCCCCACCTTTACTTTTACTTTCCAGAAAACTAGGGAGGGTCCCTTCCAAGATGCTTCCCACGCCCCTTTTCCCCCTCTGTGGGCTGAGATACCTTTTGCATGACAGTTGTCTAGGCTGCGGCTCTTCCTCCTGTCTCCCAGGATCATTCCCAGGTACCCTTATAGTCAGTCTGTTCTTTAGGCAAGTTGTAGCTTTCCAGTGATATGTGCCAGTCATGGATATCATCCCACCATTTCAGGGATGTCTATCAAATGTATTTTTCTTCCTGAGTTAGAATCTCTAGTTCTCCCTGTTTATTTCCCATAATCTGTACATTATGTAGAAACGTTTGAGGCTTTGAGTGGCACTACCTTCAGACTTCTCTGTTGTAATTTCCTGAGAAACTCTTGGCTTCTAGCTTCTCTCTCTATGTTCTGATTTCTTGGTCTCAATCCTTGACTGCATGTTCAGTTCTGAGCTTTTGCCACCTTCCTCCTTTTGTTCTAGTGTAATGCTGTCCTGAGGAGACTGGTGTACCACTTGCCAGACACTTCCTAGTTGTCATAAGATGTAGCTCATCTCTTCCCAGGAGTCTTTTGTGAAAGTAGTGTAAGCCATTGTCATACAATCCAAACTCTTCTTAGTGACACTGTCTATGTAATCTGTTTCTGCAGGCTATATTTAACTCTCTGCTGTCTTTTTTTAAAACTGTTGTTCCCTAAGAGCAGGTGATTGTTTAACTATTTAATCTGAGGAGCGTTTAAACATTTGACGAATTTTAATACTCTTCCTGAATTAGAATAAGTCAGGATTCTACAAATTGCTTCTTCTGGAAAAACTCAGCCAGAAAACTCAATAGCAAATAAATGGTAACTAATGATGGAAAAACAGTTCCCTATTCTTTGTATATGTGTTGAAAGTTATTCATAATTTCCTAAAATGAAATCTGTTTGTATTCTTAATTATAGTGCCAAGTTTCATTGCTACCCAGTGACTAAAGTAATATTTTTTTAAAATTTTTTATTAATGCATGTTTTTCAGGATTATAATGGTGTAATTTTACTCTAATTATGTTAAAGAAAGAGTCTGGTATGAAAATTTAAAACCCATCAGTTTTCCTTAACTTGAATAATTAAATTTAGTAATGTCTGTTGCTAACAAATACTGTATCAAAATGCGTCTCCTAATGCACCCTGTGGAAACTGTTATTTAAAAAAGAAAGCCTTTCCATCAGAACCAATTTCTGCCATGTGCATGTAGAATTCTTCCAGCTTGAGAAAGTTAGAGGCACAGCTCTTCTGAATAATTACTAGGAGGTTTGATAGTGGTTATATTTCAGACGTTCAACTGATTGATCCTTAATATAAATTAAAATCCAATTCTATCAAACATTTAAATCATGGGATGATTTTCAATCTTAGAATAAAAAATAAAAATCAATTTTCTGCCCTTAAAACCATTTTCTTTCTTTCTGCTCACTACAGGTATCTTAAATTATAGGATCCCAAACAGATGTGTCCTACAACTTTTCAGAAAGTTAAAACTGGGTGAAAATGAGTTTAAAACTTCATTTGGAGAGATGTTGATAATAGCTTATTATTTGGCTACTTGAACATCATTAGATCTTCTAACTCCAGTAGTAGAAAAAGTAGTTCCTAGAAGAAATCTCCATTTCTAGTTAACTCCAGAGATGCATAACATTTGGATTTAAGGCCATAATCTGGAAAGGGATTACAGGAAACACTCTTCTGATAAGTGTCAATCTTTCCAACACCACCTTTCGGAGTATTTTTAGTTTACTGGAGCAGGCAAAATAAAATTACTTTCAAAACATAGTATCTATTCAAATGAAATCTCCTCAGTAATTGTTTGCTGCTTTTCAATCACTTCTAGTTTGCTAACTCAACAGCTGCTAAAGCATGTTCTGATTTTGGTAATTGTCGTAAAAATGGGTTGATTCAAGTTTTAATATTAGTACAAGGATCTAGCATTCTTGCACTAAATAGTTCCAATTGCACTGCATTAAATAGTTTCAAAATTATTTTTCTTCAGTTTTACAAGAGGTGGTAGCCAAAATAATTACTGAGACTCTTTATTTTTCCTTCTGGTCCTTTCCCCTCTTTCCTTTATTCATCTCTCTTCACTTTTTCCCCACCCTTTTCTTACAGGGTTGGTTGCCTTTCTACCTTTCCTTCTTCTCACGTCTTAGAAACAAGCTGATTTATGTCCTTTGTTGAAAAACTCTTCCCTTGATCCTTCTGTTTGTGCTAACTTCTGTCCAACTCTGAGCAGGTCTGAATGACTATCTGCCAGGTAACTAGACTATTCCTTGCAGCAGCCCTGCAGATGATTCTGTGCCTTGTCCCTCTCTAGCAAGAATCAAGTCACCCTAAATAGGGCTGCTAAACAGCTGTTGGGAAATAAGATAAGAGCAGAGAAATAACTACACCTTGCTGCCCTTATCACCACATGCAACCCTGAGTATGAGAAGTTGATTAATAAATTCTTGCCTATTAATTTGAATGTACAGGTGTTGATACTGTTATAAGTCATGGGCCTTTTCATTTAGGATATCCTTATTTTATAATGTGATAGTATAATTAACTGTAGTGTGTTGTAGCATTAGTCATTTAATTCTATATTGTACTGCACTTAGAGCCAGTTTGATGTAGTAGCTAAGGTGCTGGGCTGGAAAACAGGACACCATTAAGGGTATTTCAGTTCTCTTACACTCCCTATTTGCTTCTCTCTAGAACGCAGCTGCTTCATGTATTCATGTTACAATCTCTGCTAATTCAGAAGCACATGCGACTCAGGACACCCCTACCCCCATTGGACAATCAATAATAAGGGTCCTTTTACCCTCACAGCTTAGCACATAACCCCTCAGAGCACATAGCTTCTCTCGTCGTTCTCCTCTCTTCCTCTTGTAGAACTCCTCTGACAAACTCTGTTAGCCTCTCTTTTGTGTGGTGGGGGAACTGCTCTTTAAAATCCGGTGAATGTCTCTTTGAATTATTTAACACTGGTTCCATAAGATGTAGGATAGCCTTCACACGTGTAGCTGTTGCTATACCACCACACCTCAAGGTTCCTCACTCACTATGAAGAAAGAACCAAACCAGACTACTTACTTTACTGTGCTGAAATTTATTTAAAAGTGCAGTTAAAAGCACACTTATGGGAAATAAGGCTCATGTGTATGTGTTTCTGAATACACATTCTCAGGATTGTGCTGCAAGAGACATGGAACCCCTGCAGACAATCACACTTTCCAGAATTGTGGGTAGAGGTTAACTGCTTTCAGCCTGAAGTAGCCTAGTTGTCTGAATTCTCTTGGCCATATATGGAGAATTTTTACTTTTCAGAGTTGTTTGGATCTCCTGAAACAATTAAGTTGGAAGGTACATTTAAGATGCTAACACTATTCCTTTGCAACACCTCATTGTTTTTCTTTTTAATCTCTGTGCACTGACACCTACAGGTCTGTCTGTGTGCAAAGAACCATTCCGAAATATTCCATTGTTGAGACTTCCTCAGTGTGTGCGCATCTGAATACAGCCCCCACCTTCCATTTAAGTTCTTTTCCAGTTATTGCATTGGTAGCCATATGAAGAACTTTCCCCACTTTCTTTCAGCCAACAGTGACAAAATGGCTTTTCTGTTCTTGTAAATGATTTTAACTGGATTGAAGGATAGATATGGGGAGGAGTAGCAACTAGAAACAGACTTTTTGCACAGTTTTGGTTTTAAATTTATTTTAAGTGTGCATGCCTTTTGCCCCAGGTGCTTGTTGGGGAACCACAACACAGAATAGATTGTAAGACTGAAGTCTTCATGCTGTAGTTTTAAACCCTGATGGGATGTGAGGCTTTAAAAAGTGTGGGCTCTTTAGTTTTGGAATACGTTAGGAAGGCAAAGATATTTATTTTCTCTGTCGTTGCTCCTTCCCTCTGGAACAGCATTTCCCTGAATGTTTGTGTGTGTGTAGTGCCCACTCTCCTGTGGTTTCAGAAGGCCCTTAAGACAAGGCTTTGTTCCCAGACCCGGGAGTAGTGTGTTTGCAAAGCCCCTGTCATGTTTTTTATTGTTATGGTTGCTTTTTAGTCTGGCTGTATGTTTTGCTGTCATGTTTTTAAACTGTTTTAATTGCATATTTTGATGTTGTAAGCTGCCCAGAATCTTTTAGAGTGGGAGGCCATAATAAATGTAAATAACAACAACAATAAATAACTACTATAATATAGTTTGAAATAAATACAAGCTTGTTGCTTTTTATATCATGTAGGAACTTGTGTATCTCAATCATCAAAGTTAGAAATGAACTAATTGCATAATGTGCCACTTATGACTCTTAACAAGAGCTTCTTAGTACAATTTGAAAAACTTGTTTTCAACTAAACTGATGGTTTCCTTCTGTTTCCTTTGATTCTTTTTAATAGCTCCAGTTAAAGAAGGTATTGAGCAAACAACCTGTACTTCTAGCTTTCTGGAAGCATAAATAACAGACTCCTATGGTAATTTACTAAGAGTGAAATTCCCTTTCTGCCAAATGCTTGATAACATAGATTCCATATTTTACTTTTAAATTCTTCTGGTTCTAAAACTTTTAACAGTTGTGACTACTCAAGGCATCAACATTTCATCCTTCATAGTAACTGAAGTCACATACACTATGCCCGTTCTCTCAGTTGTAAACCCTCTGCTTTTTTATTGTTTGTTTTCACTATTCAGTTTGATAAAGGATATGCTTACAGCATCCGGCATAATTATGGAAAAGAAGGCAAGAGAACAGATTATACTCCATTTAGCTGCATGAAAATTATCCTGTCCAATCTCCCAGGCCAAGGGGATTATCATGGTAAGTGCTTCTTCCTGACATGCTCGTAATGCACACTCACCCAGCAGCTTCAGAAGCCAACGGATTGGCTGGCCGTGTTATCGGCAGAAGCTCGTCTTGCCGCTGAAGTCAGCCTTCACTGCCAAGCTGAGTGTGCTGCTCCTCTTCTGACGGTTTGTCTTATTATAGAACTAGGTCAGGCAAAAGAGATTCACTCAGTCAGTGCTCCACTGAGCCTTGCAGTGCTTCTTCTCTTGCTTGTTTTCATCCCCATAATGTTTCAGAGCAACAAGTTCCTCAGTACTTTCTCTTTGCCAGCAAACTGTCAAATAGCTATAAATCATTTGATTTTTTTCAGAACCCAGATACTCTCTGGAATCGTATGTGATGTTGTAAATCTAATGATTCTCTCTAGAATGGAGTACTGTAATACATTTCCACAAATTGCATAAAATCAGGTTTTCTTCCAGATGTTTAGCTTTTCCTTTAAGAGACTCCTTTTCCTCTGACAGTGGGAAGTCACTGGCCAATTACAGTGAATTGTTTACTTTCTTCTTTATTTCTTCCCAGTCAGTTAAGTCCAATACCCTAAAGTATAGATCTCCTATGCCTAGATAATTGCATTTAGAGGAAGATATATGGATAAGTATTTTTTTTTCTTTTGTAAAGAGGATAAATAACAATTGTCTAGTCCCATCGTCATTTTGTCTATGTTCCTCAGTGTCATTCAGGCTTGCATGCAGAATTAGAATACCACTAATACTGTTTAGGATATATATTTATAGCATTAAAGAGACAGCCAGTTTGGTGTAGTGATTAAGGCATCAGGCTAAAAACCAGAAGACTCTGAGTTCTTGTCCTGCCTTAGGCACGAAGCCAGCTGGGAGACCTTGGGCCAGTCGCTCTCTCTCT